TTAGTTTAAAAATTACAAATGAAGACAAATAATAAACTATCTTGTTTCTCAATCTTTTCTAATGTACAGTAATAATAATGCCCCTGTATTTTGGGGCATGGCTGGACATTTGACCCCCTACTAGTTTTTGATCCAGCATGGAACCAACAGGGCCACGCCTAAGGCAGGTGGTTGTATTTCCGAGCAGAATGCCGAAAATTAGTCTTTGAACTAATCTGGATACTGTATATAACCATTGTCAGTGTATCATGCAGAAGTTCAGTTCTGTGCACATTTTTCCAAGCCATTTTCCGCGCAAATTTGAGCTAATTTTCAAGGTACCATCCACATTCCAGGACGAATAAACTGGCATTTTAGTAATGCTGTAGTAGTAGTAGTAGGTCCTAGATAGTTCCATGGACCTAATAATTAACATGTAAATTCATGTACTTTATTTAAAATAGTGTTGTTTGTTTGTCTAATGTTTGAAGTATTATTATTATATAGTTTGTATGCCTAGGCCTAAACTAGGGGCCTAGGCCGCGCCAGGCAGTAGAGTAGTATTCCGTATTCTCTACATACATACAGTAGTACTGCACTAAATGCTAGGCTATGCCTACACAGGTAAGACAAGTTGGTATTAAACAAACCTATTTAACACCACTATTAAGATCACCACTTCCAAGACTTCCTTATCCAAACCAGCAAACATATCTTTTTGAAAGATTGATTCTTCAAAAATGCCTTCGACTTATATTATTATTATTATTGAATATTTTCGCCAGTCCCAATTTTTCAATTTTCCGCTCGCGGCGACCAATCTCATCAGTTGACTTAGCCTGGGTTCCAGGCCCTAATTTTAGGTCACTCACTCTTTATTGCACTTAGTGCGCGCCATACCTAATTTAATTGGCGTCCCATACTCGATTTCTTCTTTTCCGTCTATAAATTAATTTTCTCGTTGGTGACGCTGTCCAGAACGAGAAAAATAATAAAAAATAAGAGACTTGTGGCAAGTCTACAGTTGACTGTGCCAGCTCGTTACGGTTGAGTGAATCAGCTGACTCCCTGTCTAGTGCAAATCTCCGAAATAAAAACTGGGGAAAATCGTTATTTTACACATAATTGAGACATTTTAAGTGAAAACCTATATAATTGAAAAGAACGACCAAATTTACATTGGAATATTTACAGTTTGACACGATTTTTTTATGGGGTTACCGAATGCAAGCCTTTGAAAGTCGGTACATTTTAGGAAATTCCCTATCTTATAACACTAGCTCAAAATCCTGTAGCACCAGTTTTTTTTTTTTTGGGACCCAGTTCACGAGCCTCGTTTTCGAATACCGCGCTCCAAAATCGAGTGCCGTCACCGTCATTATAGTCAGGGTTGCCAGATAGTCGACAGGCTTCACGGCCAAACACACGCCATCTCACGGCCAAACTTTTTTTCGATATCGGCCAAAATTCGGCCAGATTTTAATCCGATTAGAAGACAACAGTGGGTACATTCATTTGAAATACAAAAATTATACGAAAATCAGCGGTCATTTGTTTGAAATTCAAGAAATCCAAATGATATACACAGAACAATGTTAAAAATAAATAGCCTATGTTCTTTAGTTGCTGGCATGCAGGCCAATTCAGGGGCAAATCCAGAGATGTCCGAAAGGTTGGGGGGGGGGCGAAAGTGGGTCCGATCGAGATAACACCATCTTAGAGGAAATTTATCTTTTCTAGACGCCCGAAAATATCCTGATGCGTTTGGGCGATCAATTTTTCTTTCTAATTTTTTTTTTAACCACCATTAAATCCACCTCTGCTATTTACAATTACGATATTAAGATTGATAAAAATTTGATTTAAATGTATGAAATATTAATGTACATTGTAGTCGATCTATAGCAAAAATTGTAAGGGCCTGTTATTGACAAATCCGTGGCTATCTTTAATTAGAATTAATTAAGTTACATAGTTAGGTAACACAAACTGGCGTTAAAACAAACCTATGAAAACTTTAATAAATACTTTTTATAACTTTCTAAATTCGCCTCTGAATGTCATTGTCGCAGTACTTAAAGCAATAAATCAATGTTGCTATCAGAATTATCTTCTTCATTCTCATATGCAACCTAACTCCAGTAACTTCGAAGAAGTCTCTCTACAAAACTTGCTTGAAATTGGAGGTGCCAATCGGACCTGAATGATCACATCGAGCATTTGTATATGGCGCTCTACATAAAGAGCACTGTGGCACCTAGGGCTATACAACTCTTGTGGACATTAATAAATTAATTAAAGTACAGTATTTAATTTATATTCAAAAGAAATTCAAAAGAGATAGATCCTCCACTAATAAGATGGAACATTATATACAAAGACACAATATATGGTACAAACTTGCAATGAATGTCTTCATAAAGCTTAAACGAGGATAAACTTCATAAACAATATATTTCATCCGAACAATTTAAGTTATTAAACGTCATCTTTTAAATAAACTCTCTTACGTCAATCGGCTGAACCGGGGAACATAGATTAAATGTTTAGTGCAAGTACAAACAAAGGTAAAAGATTATAGAATCAAATATAGAATTTAAGCTAACAAAAACAAAATATCCAAAACAAGTCTACGTTATATTATGCCTATATTGAAAAAAATGTAAACTTTTCAAAAAGTCGGCCAAATATAGTTTGGCCGTGACTTTCCAAATGCTACGGCCAGACAAAATTTTATACGGCCAGATTTGAGGAATCTGGCCGTCAAAAATGGCAACCCTGATTATAGTCGCCCATCCATCTATTTTAAATTAAAAATTAATCATTTCATCCCCGCACTTCCCCTTTAAATTTCGTAAGTTTAAACGTCATTTTCTCGTTGCAGAAGTTCTTACGTTCGAACTTCTTTGTAGTGCTTTTAAATATTAATAAAATAATTACCACTAGTGGCAGATTCGGGGGGGGGGGGTGTCTCTTATACACATCTAGATGTGTATAAGAGACAGGGCCTATGTTTACTTTTGATGTTCCTTTTGAAATAATGGTTACTCGTCTTGTGTGTGTGTGTGTGTGTGTGTGTGTAATTCTTGGCAGGCCTAGCTGTACTCCTAGCCGGTACGCAGTGCGGGCCGCAGTGTGTGGCAAAGGAAAGTTTTGTTTTTCTGAGCATGTGCAGATTTTGCTTATCTGGTTCATTAGCATAACAATACCACACATAAGTCTAATTCAAGTAAGACGGCTTAAACCAACCAGCTTCCTATCCTGGTAGCAGTTATAAGTCCTTGGTTAAATCTTGATCCGCCACTGTATCACGAGGAGTTCAAGTATTATGATAAATCAGAACGGGGTTGAACGATAGGATTTTCACCCCATGGCCTACATTGGCATAGAGGAATTAGTTGTGGTTGTACGGACTGTATTTTGCTATGCTGTGTGATTACAGACAGCTGGGCCCACTCTTTGTCGAGATGAAATTAAGACTAAGTAAAGCGGAAATTATGCATGACGTCATCATACGAAGCCAAGCCCCCTCGGCTAAGCCCGTTGTATTGTACGTTGTTGAGAAAAACTATCAGACAAAATGTTTGTTAGCTTAGTATTTTTCATAATAAAACATGCATTATTAAATTTATCTAAAAAAGGAATAAATCATGTTTTTGATGCTTTTTGGGTCGCAACGTTAAAATAATGTCTCATCATGCACATTATTTGATAGATAATTTTAATAGCTTTTGTATGAGACCAATATATTTAAATTGAATCTTTAAGTAATAACATACTAGCTTCAAAATAACATTTTGGGGAAAAAAATATAAAATTTGCCATTCTTGTGGGAGATAACCTTTGATATAGCCTACTATAACTCCGAAATACAAAATGGATAATATCTGAAATGTATTTGTATGTGGTCAGTTTTCAGAAAGTGTCAGGCGAAAAGGTTGTTAGCTTTGTAATATCGAAAACTTCATAAAAAATGGTTTTTTTTTTTTTTTGGTTTTTTTTTTGGGTCACAAAATTAACATAATGTGCCATCATATACAGTACATCATTATAGACAATTTCAATAGACCAAATATATTCAAATTGAATTTTTCTAGTTATGGGCTAACTTTAAAATATTCATGACGAACTAACTACAAAATGAATTTATTATTCAGTGATTTTACCTCTCATTCTTTTCCTTTTTTGAACAAATTGAATTTGCTAGATGATTTTAAGTTACACAAATTATTTATCTCTTTATTTATATCACTTATCACCCATCCACATGAAATTATGCAAAAATCAAAGGGAAATCTATATCAGCCGAAAGCAGCCACTACAACTGGGCAATTTTTAATTACCTCTGTAGGCACCAAAATATGGAATGAAATACCAATACACATTCGTAAAATTAACACAAAGAAACACCTTCAAAAAAGTTTGTTACTTCGATTTCCATTTAGATTTTTCACAATGGCATGTTTTTAGCTAGTTATTACTATTATTATTAGGCCTAATATTATTGAAGCGTTTGTTTATTTGTTTGTTTTTTGTTTGTTTGTTTTAATGTATCTATTAATTTGATTTTATAGGACCCCATTGGACCCCATTGAAAATAATTCGTTACATACAACTTTCATGGGCTATCCTAGTATTATACCTAGTTTTCAACATCAGATTTGTTAAAATTTTAATTTTTAATTTTTTCTCTATTTTAATGTCTTTATTAACTTTTTTGAAACTTTGTTATTTGATTTTATTGTTGATGTTAAGGTATACTGAATAAAGTCAAGTCAAGATGTTGAGCTCGATAGGCATGAAGCTGCCTCTTTTCAACCTCCTTTTATCTAAAGGATATGTTATATCATATTTGTTTCCATTGTGTATGTTTAAATGTTGTCTTTTGGATAATTAAGAAAGAAGGAGCGTGAATACTATGTAAAAGCGTGTAAAATTACTTTGTTGATAACTATTTCTTTTTGGGTTACATTATAGATTGTTTCACGCATTTTAAACGGCAACGAGTGTTTGTCGTCATATAGAAGAATCCGGTTGTGCTTATTCTCCTCGTGTCGTTGGCCAAAAGAGCTAACGAAAAACAACTTCCTTTTAGCTATTGCTTGAGGTTACTTATTAAGCGATAGTGTGTATTAACATTTTTGTATTTAGAAAGGCGATTTGCTATATACGCTTTTGAGTTCACAGGTATAAAAAAGGTTGCAGACGACTGAGAAGTCCAGGCTCGACGAGATGTCTTTCCTTGGTTTGGAACCGCCAACATGGCTGCTTATACTATTAGTTATAATCCTACTGTATGTGTACGGAATGTGGGGTTTCTCGTATTGGAAAGATCGAGGTATTTCTGGACCAAAACCACTTCCATTTCTCGGCAATGGACTTGACGTATTTTTCAAAACAGGGATGCACCAAAGCCAAAAGAAGTACATATTAGAACATGGTCCTATTGTTGGCTATTTTGAGGGACGAAAACCACAGATCATAATAGGAGACTTGGACAAGCTCCGACAGATTCTCATCAAGGACTTCAACTATTTCCCAGATCATAGAAAGGTTAGTGACATTGATATGAAGCCATTCGACAAGGCGCTCACACAAGTAGAAGGTCATGAGTGGAAGAGGATTCGAAACACAGTAACGCCAACGTTTAGCTCTGGAAAGCTCAAAATGATGGTACCATTGATCAATAATGCCTGTAAAACACTTCCTGGCAGGATCAGTGACCTCATAAAATCAAAAGATGACATTAACGTGAAAGACATGTATGGTTGTTTGATGATGGATGTTGTTGCAAGCACGAATTTTGGTCTTCAATTAGATTCTGTAAAAAACCCAGAAAATCCATTCATCAAAAACATGAAGAGCATTCTTAGCGGCGGACGGCTTTGGTTGTTCGCGGTTGTTTTAATGTTACCGTTAGTAGGAAAGCTTTTGAGATTACTTGGTGTGAGTATTTTTAATTCTGAATCGATAAACTTCTTCACCGATGTCACAGATCAGGTTGTGAAAGAAAGAAAGAGTGATCCAAATGATGAGAGAGTGGATTTCATCAGATTGATGATTGATGCTCATGATTTGGAGATTGCAAAAGAAGAAGATGGACTCAAAATCCATTTCGATGATGATACAGAGAGTCCACCAACGAAAAAACCTCTGTCAACTGAAGAAATGATGGCACAGGCTGTGTTTTTCATAGTAGCCGGTTATGACACCACCAGTACCCTATTGAGCTTTATCTCTTACTTGATGGCCCTTCATCCTGACATTCAAGACAAGCTCGTCCATCACGTCGAAGAGGTCATGGAAGGTCAAGATTCAGTAACATATGAAGCTATCACTAAAATGTATTATCTAGATCAGATAATCCAGGAGACTCTACGGTTGTATCCACCAGCCCCATCAACAGACAGGTTGTGTACGTCTACCTGGAGTCACGATGGTTTGACGATTGAAAAGGGTGTCGGAGTAATTGTTCCAATCTGGGCAATTCATCACAACCCTAAAGTCTGGTCTGATCCAGAAAGGTTTGATCCAGATAGGTTCAGCAAAGAGAACAAAGAGAAGCACCATCCAATGGCCTGGATCCCGTTTGGACATGGACCTCGCAACTGTGTTGGTATGCGATTTGCTCTAACAACAGTTAAAATTGCAATCGTTCACATTTTCAGAAAGTATAGAGCTATTCCTGTTGAGAATACTCCAATACCTATTGTAGCCAAAGTTTTTGGTCAAGTTATTCCAAAGACTGGGATTCCTCTGGGCTTTGAGGAGAGGGATTAAGTCTCAAATGAGTTAAAAAGTACCGGTATGTTGTAACTCTTTCAGGAGATACAAATTAATGTGATCAACCCGATTCATAGTAAAAACTGATCAATGTTACTGATAGCAAATTTGTTCAATAATTCGATATGTATTGCTGTTTCTTTCTCGATTGATTTTGCTTAGCATTTTTCAGGAGATTTAAACTGCATTCACTTCGGATCCGAACCAAAATCAGAGAATGTTTTAGATATTATTGCACTTTTGTGTTCTTGTGCTACATACAGTATGCTAACGTAATTATTCCGTCATGTTGATTAAATTAAAATATATAAAGTTTTGTATAATAAATTTAAACTTAGTCCTTAAACCATATACGTACTAAATTAGCATTTTCTGAAATCAAAATGTGGTTATTGTAATGGCATACATCTTTGAAAAAGATATGGCTGTCACTCACCATCTTGAATCTATGCTATTGGATACATCACAATGACCCGTGTTTAGAGACCAATACCAATACCATATATGATTTTAAGATTTTTTGTGGTTACATTGCCACAATCAGCTGTATATAAACATATTTCTTTAAATTCAGTACCATAACCGTCAGTAGCCTATATTTAGACAAAATTTATTCTTTTTCATTGAGTACAAGTAAAGTTATTAGCCAATATCTGAATTTTAATTCCTTCACTTTCTTATTGAAATCATCTTCTCCAACCCCTCAGGGAAGCAACATCACCTGCATCGAATAAAATCCTTGAGCTAGTAATATTTAAAAACTGCGTTGGCATAACTTGCATCAACATAAAAACGTCCTCGACCCACCGGTACTATAAAGCCGCAACAGAAATTGTTTCTATTCACAACATTTCAGATGCTTTTGCTCATAACTTTTTCAATCAATCAATGACTCAATCAGTTATTGCATTTATGCAACGTTATTAACGGCCATTTTTGGGGATTTCTGCACATACACACAATTTTCCTAATTTTTATAGTATTAAAATATCATAAATTCTGCATTCCAATGGCTCTTACATAGAATAGAGTAATTTAATTTTACTGCTAATGCATGGATAGCCTGAAGACATAAAAATATGGAAAGGAGGATGGGGGATGCAGAAATGGACCTTCCATACCATTTATTTGAAATAGGGGTGTTTTTGCATATTTTAGATATTCCAATTTAGGCCCAAGTTTGGAGGGGTATAACTTTTTATATCCCTGGTTCTTAGTTCATTTGTTTGAAGGGCAAAATTAGTTTTTGAGTTGATCTCACGGGCCTAAGATAATCTCCACGGGGCAATCGTTATGCATCTGGGTGAAACCCTTTCCGCTAAGATAGATCTATTTGGAAGGTTTTTTGCAATCTTATATTATACTTTTAATTGTACTCTGCCTGCTCCAGCGGTCTAAACCCAAAATTTGGTCGTCGCGAGAAATTTCTGTGGGGACGTGTCATCAATTCAATAAATTCAATAGTCGTTCGTCAACTTTGGTGAGTCGCTTTATTGTCAATGTAATGGATCACAATACAGAAACCTACCGTTATCTCGATATCAGTGGCGGATTCAAGGGGCCCTACCCCCGAGCCCCCACCCCCTATAAGAAAGAAAGAGAAAAAAAGAAAATTCTACTAAAATTTAAGAGTACCATTTCCGGCCTCTAGAGATGCCATAATCATAAATTTACTTCCCTCAGCCCCAATAATGTTGGTTGTCAGCCTCAACCATGCAGGTAGTATAGACCCTCCATAGAAGTGGTTTGGCGCAGTGGGAACGGTTTGGTTTCCCAACCTCGAGGTCGGGGTTTCAATCCTCTCGCTGTGCATTTCGCTTGTGTCCATGGGCAAGGCACTTTATCTACATTGCTTCTCTCCACCCAGGAGTATAATGGGTACCTGGTAGGGAATGCCAAAATGCGTTGATGCCGCTGCTGCAACTTTATGGAACAGTTAGTTCCAAAGGCGTCTAATCCAATAACCGGGGGTAGTAAAACTAATGTGAAGAGCTTAGAGGCCTTGTTGGCATTAAGCGCTATATAAATATAACATATTATTATTATTATTAGTTGTGAAAGTCTCTCTCTGGGTCCCCTCTATTTAAAATTCCTGGATCGGCCACTGGACATATTTTTTTGAAAAATACAAAATATTTTCCGCATATGTACATAGTACGAATACAGGACTAGCAAATGTATTTTTACGAGCACTTTCTTTTGGTACACCAAATTTTTATTACCCCTGTAAAGTAAAAAATTGCTATTAACGAATCACAATGAACAGAACAAAATACAGAGACGAAACTTGGGGGCACTGAATTCGGTGTAATGTACGTTAATACTGTATGCTTGAAAAGACGGTTATTGACGAAACAATGATCAGAACAACACACAGAGTGAGGACTTGGCGGCACAGAGAGTTTTGTATGACTTGAATTATTTGCAGGACAATCGAAATCTAATTTTATGAGCACTGGTTTACTAACTCTTTAATATCAAGTTTAAGTACGAATGTTATCGATGGAACTTTATTGCAAAATAACCTAAATGTAGTTTACCTGGACGATTCAACAATGAGCTTATTTTGCCATGGGTCGGAAATCAGGCATCAAGACCCTGCAACTGCTATGTCAAATTTAGCAGAGCTATTATTAAGAATACCAATCTTAGCTTTTTGATAATTCTGAGTGTGGTAAACCTTACGTACATCATAACGTGTTTTTTTGTGGGGGGGGGGGGTTACCTCGTTCAATTCAATTTGTTTAATTGCTTCGAAAGCCATCATGGACCAATACCTGCTAAAAGCATGCACAAAAATTTATGAAATTCCCAAAAGAACACATTGATATAGGTGAATGGGCAAATCAGAGATAGATCAGAAGAATTGGAATATGCAAGTTTCAAGGAGTATGGAAGGAAAAATGAAGCAAAACGAGAAGTTCGACATGCGATAGGTAGGAATGCAAAGTCTCTAAAGTGGCGAAGAGATGTAGGGCAATGGCGGCGGAATGGAAGAGAGGAGAGGGTGAAATTCCATTTTAACAATTTTCCCAAGGTTGCAGGGAAGATGGTACGGTTTTCAAAAAGAGGGATGTTGAAGTCTTTAAATATTGAAGGATAGGTGGAATGTGTAACGTATTCAGAAAGCAGCTTGCAAAAAAAGGTATTCGATACGTTTGAAAAATGACATTTCACATTTGGGTAGAAGGTCATAAATGCAGCAGACGTATTCCATAACAGGAAGAATGTGGCACTTATATAAAATAGCAAGGGATTGACGGTCGAGAGAACGCTTTAATATAGAACCCTTTCGGAGACAAGATTTATAAACACAAATGATTTGGGAATGCCACTTGAGATCTTATGAGATAAGAATACAGTCAACAGTTTTGATAGTTTGAATTTGACAGTTTTAATCGACAGTCGACAGTTTGAATTTTGGATTGAAATAGAGAGATAGGTTCGAAGTTTAATGGAGTTTTACAGAACGAGATATTCATAACTTTACACTAGAGGGGAGAAAACTGCAAACCATTTTCAAAATGAGGAAGCGATGGAGGGAATGATCATAAGTAATATTTCTAAATTTATTTACAATAACCAGATCGTCAGCGTATAGGGAAAGAGTACAAGGTATATAATTAACGATATCGTTAATAAAGCAAAGGAATATAACATTGGGCCAAGCTTGCTTCCTTGTACTACTCCACTGGTGATCGGAAGAGCGGGTGAGAGAATGCCATTGAAATGGGTGCGTTGAGATCAGTCTTAATCCAGTGAGCAATTCAATTGATTAAAGGGGGAGGGGAGGAGACGGAAAGAATGGGCAAGTTTGTGAATGAGGAGTTTGTGAGGAACGGAATCAAATGCACGCCAAATATCAAGAGAAAAAAGGCGAGAACATAAACATTCATCAGCAGAATAATATAAATTGTGAGTGATATAAAGGAGTGAGTCAGCAGTGGATCTGTTTTGACGAAAACCGCACTGATATTTTGAAATACAAACAGAGGTCTGCTCGTAAATTCAGGACGAAATGATTCCTTCTAATATTTTGCAAAATGGAAAAATGTTAAAGACTGGACCATAATAGAAAGGATGTTCGGGAAGCGCCTTTATAGATTATATGAACAATAGCGTATTTCCATATATTTGTAGAGGGAATAACGCAGAAATCCAGGAAGGAGGTAAAAAGTTTCGAAAGAAAACAGCTCAATGAGGAACAGCTCAATGAGGAACAATGACCTTCACAACAAAATTGCTGAGACCATCAGGGCCGGGGCTTTGGAATTAGACAGGTTAGATGAGGCTTTAAGAATAATTATCCTCAGTGGATATGGCAGGGCAATCATGGAGAGGTGGGGGAAGGCAAGATTAGGGGATGTTGTATTGCGATTTACTTGAACACTGGTAGGAAAATGGTAAATTAAAACGGGATGCAATGTCAAATGGGTCGGTAATGTTACCATCAGGAATATCGAAGGAGAGCGAATTTCGGAATTGAGAAGGTAGACTTTTCTTAATTGGAGACCACTTTCACGAACCTTTCTTTAGTGTATAGGGAGTTTTTATTATAGTTTCTTTTAGCCCTTCGAATCTGAGATGTAACCCACTTCTTAATTACTGGTACGTGGTATAGGTCTTTATCATTGTACCACGCCCATTGCCTGAATTGAATAAGGTTTTTAAGACCGGGGGAAAGCCTATTGGCATCATTAATATGTAATCAAATTACACGATACCCAAAAATATGTGATAACTTAGATTTTATAATATATGTAAGCTGATAATACACGGCCATAGGAGATTTCGATTTAAGTATTTCAATGAGGTATATCTAATCAAATTGATTAAGTTCAGATTGTAATAGTCTGATAGATTCAATATCAGTACGAAGTACATGTGTCTTAAAGATGCTTATATTGGCAGATGGGTTTGTCGAGTAGCACATCGAATGACACCGCTCTATGGTCACATCTAGAAAGCCAGTTATATATGTGAACATTATTAATGTTTTCCTCATTGCTCAAAACAATGTCGAGTATTTTGTGGTTTCTTGTTGGCTTGGTAACTAGTTGTTTTAAATCATTGACAGATTGAAAAGGGGAGAGGTTCTTCAAGTCGGTGTCCTTGAGTTCGCCGAATACCATGAGCTTACTTTAGTTGTCAATTTGTAAGCCCATGACGCAATCTTGCATGTGTTCGTAACCAAGGTCACTGTTGGGTCCAGGTGGACGGTACACAAACAATATTAATAATAAGTCTGAAATGAGTTCGTCGTAGCTCTTTAAGGAGATAAATAAACGTTATTAAACTAATTAATATTAAAAACTGATAAACTGAATTAATTGGCCAATCAATTTAGCATTAATATATTTGCGGGTTTTTTAATCAAAGAATTCAGCAGGTTTGCTGTTTCCTTGTATTGGTTTCGTCTAGTTTCGCCTAGTTAGTTTGTAGTGCCTGTAGAAAATATGCTAACGTAAACATATCGGGGGGGGGGGGCACTTATAAGATGAATGGGAATATGAATCATGCAGATCTGGAATCAAACCTAGGGGGATGGGGGACAATATTTTTCCTTTCTTGAAAACGGTCAGGTAAATTTTTCTCATTTTTTATTTCATGTATGTACACATACATAAATAAATGAGTAGTTGCATGGGTATTCTTTTTTCCATG